CTCGTATGCTGTATCGATGACCGAATCGATACACTTCTCATGGAATACATGACCACACCTCAACGTTATCAATGGATCTCCCATATCCTCCTCATCTAGACATATCGGACACAGGTCCTGCGGTGCACCCATGGTATCCAGCGTCACCATAGAAGCACTTTTGGCCGCCTCCAAGAACGCCTTCTTATCCTCAGGCGTTGGCATCTGGTGAATACCATCAGTTTGGCTCGCTGGACCCTGCCGGAGCTTCTTGAGGCCTTGTCGAAACCCGTATTTTCTCGTCATCTGCACGAGTAAAACGACCACCGGTAGAGCTATCCATAGCAGAGCTACACCGAAGGCTATGATTAAGCCAGGGAACGTCTCGTGAATACCCGCAAGGACGATGAACGACGTGGTTATGAGTATAACGCCACATAGCCAAACCCAACGAAAATAAGTAGGAAAGGATATCTCCATGAAACCTTCAGCGGTGTCGGACATGGTAGAAGAGATACTATGTAGAGCAACTAAAAACACCACATTGAAAATCGACTTGTCAACACAACCACAACTACTGGGGACGAGACCGAAACATAAGTGTTGTGATTGCGAAAGGCCTAAGAGCCTTAGTAACCACCAAGTACGCAGAAAGAGGAAACCATCAAGACCAAGCTTCATCGGTCCAGACAGAAACCTCCCATGTGTAGTGCAGAAGCTAACGAACCCCATTGATTGGATATACCTTCTTTTTGATACATCCAGAAGAGCCTTATGCTCCACAGGACGGCTGTACTGTCGAGTAGCGTCTGTACTGAGGAGATGAGGTTAAAACCTGGATAATACCGATACAGGGTGAGAGTTTCCATAACCCTGCGAGTAGAAAGAAAAGGGAGTAAGTGTGTCATTGGGATAATTCATATATGAGAGTATAAAAGGTCGGAACTATCATCACCTTATTATACCCAAATAGATAGGGAGGGATGATGGAGTAGTAGTAAGAAGAATAAAGAGCAATATATGATGCAGAAATCGTAACAGCACAGGAGACAGCAATCATCACTAAGACTAGACAACGCCAAGAGTAGCAGCATCTTCAAACCTTCGAAAAAGGGCTACTACGGCATGCCAGCGATCTAGCTCAGCTTCGGTGATATGCGGATCACCTAGGCAGAAACTGGGGTGATACAGGTAGAAGGGGGTGTCACCATTGGCTGTCTACATAGAGGACACTTGATGTTGCCCATAACTTCATCGGCACACTTCTTTCGAGAAGTAGTCCGAGCCGTTGCCTCATAGATCCGGCTAACAAGAGCATCCATGCATCTCTCGTGGAATACATGACCACACTGCAAAGTGCAGAGAGAATCTCCAAGGCCATGCTCGTCGAGGCAAATAGGACATAGATCGTCACAGTCGGACTTGGGGGAAAGGGCGGTACCGATAGTAGATATACTCATAGAGGATTCACTCTTCACCATATCAACGAAGGAACTAATCTCTTCAGCTGATGGGGGAGACCACTTCTTCTCAGTTTCGCCGAGCTCGAGATCCATAGCAAGGTTAGCAGCAAGCTGCTCGTCTCGTCGGCTCTGACGGTAGAATAGAATTCCCACTGGCACAATGATCCAGAGGACTGTGATGGCTATGAGGACGTGTAGGATCCACTTTGGCAGAGATAGGGCTCCAACCAGAGCACAGCAGCCACCGCAGACTGCCAGACCCCCAAGCCAAACAATGCGATCCTTCTTGTCAAGTACTAGAACGCCTGAGTCGGTGAATGACATTACTAGACACCAATACACTGAGAGAACACTGCAATGTTCGTTGAAACATACTTCACGAATACGGGCAAGCTTAGGCAGGGAGTTCATCGCTAGTGCGACACAACCGTTCGAAAAAAGATGCCAGCAGAGACTAAATCGGTAATGTGGAGTTCAGGCATCTCTATGGTACCCATACACTACGAACAACACCCTATAGAATGCCCGAAGTCCACGGGTAACGATGCGTAGCTTGATTGAGGACAAACTCTGTGGCGACGTTGACGCCTAATTTCCCTGCAGTTGCACGAAATAGTTTTGACGATGATGGTGAGAAACTACAAGTGGCCAAGATCGTTGCTGATGCAACCTACTTATACTAGCACTAGCCTAGGCATTACACGGAGCGTTCTGGAGATC